TTTATTTTGTCTGATGTAAGAATAGCTACCCCTGCCCGCTTTTGGTGACCATTTGCATGAAATGCTTTTCCATCCCTTTAAGTTTATGTGAGTCCTTATGTGTTAGGTGAGTCTCCTAAAGGCAGCAGATAGTTAGTTGGGGAGTTCTTATCCATTATATGGTTCTGTATCTTTATTTATTTATTTATTTATTTTGAGACAGAGTCTTTCTCTGTCGCCCAGGCAGTGGGCGTACAGTGGTGTGATCTCAGTACCCTCCACCTCTGGGCTTCAAGTGGTTCTCCTGCCTCACCCTCCCAAGTAGCTGGGATCACAGGTGCATGCCACTACACCCAGCTGATATTTGTATTTTTAGTATAGAGTTTCACCATGTTGTCCAGGCTGGTCTCGGACTCCTCACCTCAGGTGATCCCCCTGCCTCAGCCTTCCAAAGTGCTGGGATTATAGGCATGAGCGATTGCTTCTGGCCTCTATGTCTTTTAAGTGGAGCATTTAGGCCATTTATATTCAATGATAGTATTGAAATGTGAGGTACCGTTGCTTTCATCATGCTCTTTGTTGCCTGTATACTTTGGTTTTGTTTTTTGTTTTTGCTTTTAAACTTGCATTTTTGTTTTATAGGTCTTACGTGATTTATGCTCTAAAGAGGTTCTGTTTTGATGTGTTTCCAGGATTTGCTTCAAGATTTAGCAGTTGTTATAGTGGTAGTTTGGTAATGGTGAATTGTCTCAGCATTTGTCTGTCTAAAAATGACTGTATCTTTCCTTCGTATATGATGCTTAGTTTCGCTGGAGACAAAATTCTTGGCTGACAATTGTTTTGTTTGAGGAAGCTGAAGATAGGTCCCCAGTCTCTTCTAGCTTGTAGGGTTTCTGCTGAGAAATCTGCTGTTAATCTGATGGGGTTTTCCTTTATAGGTTGCCTGGTGCTTCTGTCTCACAGCTCTTAAGATTCTTTTTCATCCTAACTTTGGATAACCTGATGACAATGTGCCTAGGCAGAGATCTTTTTGCAATGAATATCCCAGGTCTTCTTTGTGCTTCTTATATTTGGATGTCTAGGTCTCTAGCAAGGCCGGGGAAGTTTTCCTTGATTATTACCCCAAATATATTTTCTAGCCTTTTAGAATCCTCTTCTTCCTCAAGTACACCAATTATTCTTAGGTTTGGTCATTTAACGTAATCTCAGACTTCTTGGAGTCTTTGTTTATATTGTCTTATTCATTTTTCTTTGTCTTTTTTGGATTGGGTTAATTGGAAGACCTTGTCTTCATGCTCTGAATTTCTCTCTTCTACTTGTTCAATTCTATTGCTGAGACGTTCCTGAGCATTTCGTATTTCTGAAAGTGTGTCCAAAGTTTCCTTAATTTTTTTATTGTTTTTTCTTTAAGCTATCTATTTCCATAAATATTTCTCCCTTCACTTCTTGTATCATTTTTTGGATTTCCTTGAATTGGGCTTTGCCTTTTCTCTGGTGCTTCCCTGATTAGCTTAATAACTAACCTCCTAAATTCTTTGTCAGGTGAATCAGGGATTTCTTTTTGGTTTGGATCCATTGCTGGTGAACTAGTGTGATTTTTTCCAGGTGTTGAAGAGCCTTGTTTTGTCATATTACCAGGGTTGGTTTTCTGGTTCCTTTTCATTTGGATAGGCTCTGTCAGAGGGAAGGTCTAGGGCTGAAGGCTATTGTTCAAACTCTTTTGTTCCATGTAGTAATATCCCCCTTTTCCTATGGACGTGGCTGCCTGTGAACTGAACTGCAGTGATTATTGTCTCTCTTCTGGATCTAGCCACCCAGCGACTCTACCCAGCTCCGGGCTGGTACTGGGGGTTGTTTGCACAGAGTCCTGTGATTTGAACCGTCTATGGGTCTCTCAGCCATGGATACCAAGACCTGTTCCAGTGGAGGTGGCGGAGGGTGCAGTGGACTCCGTGAGGGTCCTTAGGTTTGGTGGTTTAATGCTCTGTTTTTGTTCTGGTTGGCCTCCTGCCAGGAGGTGGTGCTTTCCAGAGAGCCTCTGTGGTAGTATGGAGAGGGACCAGCGGTGGGTGGGGCCCTAGAACTCCCAAGATTATATGCCCTTTGTCTTCCACTACCAGGGTGAATAGGAAAGGACTATCAGGTGGGAGCAAGGCTAGGTGTGTCTGAGCTCAGACTCTCCTTACGCGGGTCTTGCTGTTGCTGCTGTGGAAGATGGGGTGAGATTCCCCGGTCACTGGAGTTGTGTACCTAGGAGGATTATGGCTGCCTCTGCTGAGTCATGCAGGTTGTCAAGGAAGTGGGGGAAAGCCGGCAGTCACAGGCCTCACCCTGCTCCCCTGCAAACTGAAGGGCCAGTCTCACTCCCACTGTGCCACCTGAACAACCCCGAGTCTGTTTCCAGGCGAAGGGTGAGATGGACTTAAAAACTTGCCCGAGGCTATCTGCCTCCCAGCTGCGAGAGAAAAGGACTTTAGCTTTCCCCCACTGCCTGTGAAGTCTGCTTGCCAATTCATGCCCTCCCCCAAGTTCTGGCCAGGAGGCTTTTTGTCCCACTCAAATTGTTACAAAGTTCAGCTAGAGAATTCCTTCTCCCTATGGAGTTTTACTGTCTGCTCCTCTGGCCACCCTCCCAATGGATCCCTGTGGTGCCAGGCAGGAATGGGCTGCCTGGGGACCCAGCGAGCTCCCAGGGCCTTTCTGCTGCTTCCTCTGCTCCTGTATGTCGCTCGGCGTTCCAACTTGCCTCAGCTCCAGGTAAAGTGGGAAACTTCTCCTGCAAATAGACCCTCAGCTTCTCCAGTGGGGGTGTGTGTTTGTGAGAGGAGGGTCTCCCTTGCCCACTCGCACAGTTCGGGCACTCACAGTATTTCGGGTGTCTCCCAGGTCCTACAGGAGCAGTTCGCTTCCTTCAGGGTGTCTGTGGGTCCCCTTGGGATTGCTGGTTTGTTCTTGTAGTCGATCTGGAGCTAAAATTCACAATCTGGAGTCTATTTTAAAATTATGTTGATGAATTTGAGCCCATGTGTGTTTTTCTCTGATAAGGTTCTGCTGCTCGTATTGCTAGCACAGAACAAATAGAAAACTGAGTTTCACTAGAACTATGGTTTAGCCAGCTGAGCTTTTTAGAGGAAGAGGAGAACAGAGGAAGTGGAGGTATATAAGTTAGTGATAAGGGCGATGAACTGTGAAATCTAACCTGGGAAAGGAAGAAATGAAGGTGTGGAGGAGGTGGATGAACAGTGAAAAAGTGGTAGGGGCAATGGATTGGAGATCCCAGTGGAGCTAATATGATCATCTTAGAGAAGGTGAACCAAAAAGGGAAGATCCAAGAGTCTATACATCCCAACAATTAACCACTCTTTCTATGGATTCTTCTCAAATTTAGATGGTGCTCTTCTTTTTAGCTTTCCCCTGTGAAAATGGAGGAGAACTCGTTATCACAGAAATTGCTTTCATAGCTGCTTCTGTAGCAGTGACCTCTTTGCTAAACCTCAATTCTACGGTTCTAGTGCCTGCAAGAATTGCCTGAATGCTCTACCAGCATTTTCTACTAATTATATGTAAAGTATTTTTAACAATTCTTCATTCAAATTCACCTGTTCTGGATGCCATTCTCCCTCTATGAGTCTCTCTCCTGACTCTTTCCTCTCCTTGCCTCCAATTTTAATCATTACTAAGTAAGTTAGCTTGTAAAATATTTATTGGATCTTCTCTACATTTCCAGGGCCCACCGACCTTGTTGGCCCATCCAGTGCCCATTCAGCTCCCTATCTTGCACCTTTGTTTCCCTCTTTTTGGGATATCTTCCCTTGAATGTTAAAATCCTTTGGCCACAAATTTAAATGACATCTATTCTATAAACACTGCCACGACTTCAGTTTATTGGATTTTGTTAATTGTTGCCAAAATGGTATCCTCTTTATGTTTTTTTCTCCAATACCAGGTTAATTTTCAAAATTATATTCTTTATAGCCACAGCCCTTCTCAAAAACTTTTAGGAGTTTTCTGTTTCTCTTAGAATAATGTCCAAACTCTTTGGCATAGGCTCTAGCCTTCTTTCATATTCTCATTTTCTTCACCTCTTCTTGGAGTCTTTCTAGGGCCCACTGAACTTGTTGGCCCATCCATTGCTCTTTCAATCCCCTATCTTGTACCTGCATTTCCCTCTTCTTGGAATATGTTCTCTGACTGGTAAAAATCCTTTGAGCACAGATTTAAATACCACCTACTCTATAAACATTTTACACGCTCCTCACTGTTGAAAATAGTCTCTCCTTCCTCCAAACTTACAAAATAACTCTGTGTATACCTGTTAGTCATAAGAATACTTTTCGGCCGGGCGCGGTGGCTCAAGCCTGTAATCCCAGCACTTTGGGAGGCCGAGACGGGCGGATCACGAGTTCAGGAGATCGAGACCATCCTGGCTAACACGTGAAACCCCGTCTCTACTAAAAAAATACAAAAATTAGCCGGGAGCGGTGGCGGGCGCCTGTAGTCCCAGCTACTCGGGAGGCTGAGGCAGGAGAATGGCGTGAACCCGGGAGGTGGAGCTTGCAGTGAGCTGAGATCCGGCCACTGCACTCCAGCCTGGGGGACAGAGCGAGACTCCGTCTCAAAAAAAAAAAAAAAAAAAAAAGAATACTTTTCAATTTTATAAGCGTACAGTTTTCAAACTGCTTTTACATATGTTTTACTTTATTCTCTACAACAAGAGGAGGTTTTCTTTAGCACCATTTTAAAGATATGGAAACTGGGAATGAGAATTATTTAAATTACACGTACTTGTCACTGTCACCCTTCGAATAATTTATATTCTTATTTTTCTTGTTCCCAGACTTTGTCCTTCAATGCACTGAATCAAAGCTTTCACTAATAGGCAGTCTTATTTGTTGAATGAATGCATGAAAGGCTGGTTTTATGAAAGCAAAAATGTTTTTCATAATTAGTATTTGAAAAGATGTGTTTTTCAAGTAACTTGCATGTTAATAGCTTTTTTTTATGATGTGGACTTTGTTAAGTCTGGCAGTAAGAAAAAGAAAGTCACCAAAGCTGAACGATTGAAGCTGCTACAAGAGGAGGAAGAGAGACGACTGAAAGAGGAAGGTACAAAATAAATAGTGATACTATATACATATACAGGTAACAGTCATGATAGGTTGGCCTTCTGTAGTACAGTCAATATTTTTTCAAAGTTCTTTAATTTTAAATTTTAATCTGTTTTATAATAGATACCTATCATTTAGAAAGTATCCAGAAAGATGTTAGTACATGCCAGTCTCTTTCAGATATATATTGAAGTAGGGTTGCCAGAGATAAAATACAGGAGCCCAGTTAAATTTAACTTTCAGTTAATCAAATGGATAATTTGGGATAATTTGCCCCATGCAATACTTGGGACATACTTAACTTTAAAAAAAAATTGTTTAAAGTTTCGGTGCTGTAAAAGAAATAGTACTCAAATATAAAATTTTCTTTTTAATTCTCAGCAAAGCAAGGTACTTCTATAGAAGGGTACGCTCTCACCAATGGAGCAATGGTGGGCACACACTTGGACAAGGGAGGGGAAGGGGTTCTTATCCCTGGCGCATGTGGCCCCTGCTGCTGTGTTGTTCCCCTGTTGGCTAGGGTTAGACCGCACAGGCTAAACTAATTCCGACTGGCTAATTTAAAGAGAATGACGGGTAAGCGCTTTGGCGGGAGTCAGGACAGAGCAGGTAGCAGGAAATCGGAATGAGTTAGGGTGGAGCAGCTGATCAGAATGAGTTGGGGTGGAGTAGGTAGTTGAAAAAGGTTGCTTTAGGAGGAAGTTTAATTTAAAAGTAGAAAGCAAAGAATTGAACATACTGACTTATTCTTTGAAGAGAAATTTAGAATTCATATTCAGCAAATGTTTATTGTTCATCTAAAATTCAAATTCAACTGAGCATCCCATGTTTTAATTTGCTAATTCTGGTAACCCTATCTTGAAGTGTTTATATTTACTGATGAAACTAGGAGCGCTGGTGCTGATTGTTCGGTAAAAATTCTGAAACTCAAATTCATTAAATGTGGGAAATATACACTAGCAAGAAATATGTAGAGCAGCCTAAATTTTTACAGTTTAATAATATTTATTTACCAAATTTAAAATACTAATTTTATTTGTTAAAAAATTAAACATTGATAAAAGTGTTTATTAATTAAAGTACCAAAAAGTGGTTTTTAAAATCTGAGTATTTAGATATAGGTTTTTAAAAGACTGTTCCTAGGTTCCATATTGATTTTTTGTGTATAATTTTATACATCCTTTTTTTAGGTGACTCCTGATACGAATACAGTATCAGGATCTATATCTTGGGGCATGTTTTATTTATATTGGATTAAACTAATACTCTTCAATATGTACTTCACATTTTGTTTTTAATAGTGAGAGCAGGAGAAGATTAAGGTAATTGCATCTGAAGATGTAGATGTCACAAGATTATGGAAGTCTTCTGAAGACTTGACTTCCTCTTCATTGCCATGATAGGTCTGCCGTACTTTATTGGTTAAAATCACTATTGGATTGCTATAAACCTTTTGGAGAAGAAAAATATTATTGTGGGCTTTTTTTTTTTTTTTTGGACCAGAAAGTTTGAGTCATGTTACTTTTTTTTGGGGGGGGGGGGAAACGGTAATTTCTCTCAGCCTTTATTTTAACATTCAGCAGTAGATGATGGATGTTTTAAATCACTCTTGATAAGAAGCTATCAGTAGGAGTTATTTTGTTTCACAGATACCTGGCAGGTCAAAAATATACTCAAATTGAATAAATATTCTCAAATAGGGGAATAGTAAGCCCGAGTAGCTGACGCTGCAGAGAGGAAGCACATCTAAAGCTACAATGAGTGCTCCAGGGAGCCACTCCTACACCATTTCCACAAAAAGCAAAGAAGAGACAATGGCTGGGAGTCATGTGTGTTTATAGCAGTGTGATTTATAATCCTTTGGGTATATACCCAGTAATGGGATTGCTGGGTCAAATGGTATTTCTAGTTCTAGATCCTTGAGGAATCGCACACTGTCTTCCACAATGGTTGAACTAGTTTACAGTCCCACCAACAGTAGTGTTCTTATTTCTCCACATCCTCTCCAGCACCTGTTGTTTCCCAACTTTGTTTTGTTTTGTTTTTGTTGTTTTTGTTTTTTTTTGAGATGGAGTCTTGCTCTGTTGCCTAGGCTGGAGTGCAATGGTGCAATCACGGCTCACTGCAAGCTCTGCCTCCCGGGTTCATGCTATTCTCCTGCCTCAACCTCCAGAGTAGCTGGGACTACAGGCGCCTGCCACCACTCCCAGCTAATTTTTTTGTATTGTTAGTAGAGATGGGGTTTCACTGTGTTAGGCAGGATGGTCTCGAACTCCTGACCTTGTGATCCACCCACCTCAGCCTCCCAAAGTGCTGGGATTACAGGTGTGAGCCACCATGCCCAGCCGTTTCCTGACTTTTTAATGATGGCCATTCTAACTGGTGTGAGATGGTATCTCATTGTGGTTTTGATTTGCATTTCTCTGATGGCCAGTGATGATGAGCATTTTTTCATGTGTCAGTTGGCTGCATAAATGTCTTCTTTTGAGAAGTGTCTGTTCATATCCTTCGCCCACTTTTTGATGGGGTTGTTTGATGTTTTCTTGTAGTTACTTTCTTGAAGAATGGAGAACTGACACTTTTCTCATATCTACCATGTAATAAAGACTGTGACTTCTATAAAAGATTCCACCACTACATCTTGAAAATATTAGGAGTAATTTTAAGGGCTTAAAAATGCAGTGATCTGTTCACTGAGAAAAAAAAATTTTTTTGGTTCTTTAGAGGAAGCCCGTTTGAAATATGAGAAAGAAGAAATGGAAAGGCTTGAAATACAACGAATTGAGAAAGAAAAATGGAATCGACTTGAAGCAAAAGTAAATAAACATTAATAATGTTCTTAATGAATACTTTAAACTATGCCTATCAGATCTATTGTCATTTAATGTCCTTCTCAGTCCATAGTTACCAGTAATAATTAGGCCTACATGAACTTAATCCTATCATAGAATAAGTGACATTGTTATCTAGATTTCACCGATGAGGAAATCGAGGTACGGAGAAATTAAGCATCTAATCAGTGGCATAGTCAAGACTTAGATCTAAGCAGGTCTTGCTAAAGGGCCTATGCTTATAACCTTAAAGCATATGTGAATCCATTTTATAGACAAGTTAACAGCAACCAAAAAAAAAAAAAAGCAAAATATTCAAATTCTACCTCTCCTTTTTTAGTTTCACTTGTCTGTTTCACTAGAATCTTTTAGATCAGTAATTCTGAAATATTCTGGTCTCAAGACCAAACTCCATTACTATTAAAAACTGAAGACCGCCCCCCCCCGCCCGCCAAGGAGCTTATGTTTATGTGGATTACATCAATCAATATTTTACCATATTAGAAATTAAAACAAAAATTTTAAACTGCTTACATTAACAGACATTACATGTTGATAAAAATAAACTTTATTAAACACAAGTAAATACATGAACATTTTTAAAGAAACAACTTTTTTTTTAAATTGAAATGAATGGCGTTGTTTACATTTTAAAAATTTATTTGATATCTGACTTAACAGAAGACGGCTGGATTCTCATATCTATTTCAGTATTCCATCTGTTGCAATGTGTTGTTTTGTATGAAGCATATAAAGAAAATCTGGCCTCATACAGCTACGCAATTGGAAAAAAAGTAATATTGTAATAGCCTTTCTGATAATTGTGGATATTCTTCTTTGATACTATATCAAAACTCTACAAGTCATAGTTTCTTAATGTGGAATATGAAACCATATCAGTGAACTATTCATACTCTGTTATTTTAAAACATTGATCTGTCTTACCCTCTGAATAGATGTTGTTTTCATATATGATTTAGCATTATCATGTGTTGCTTGCTTGAAAAGGTTTGGTTCACTGAATTATTTGCTTCCAAATGTTGATGTAACTTATTATTCATTATCAAAAATCACATACATTAGTATAATCACCAAACAAATCAGAAGTTTTTTCGTTTTGTTTTGAGACGGAGTCTCGTTCTGTCACCCAGGCTAGAGTGCAATGGCATGATCTCAGGTCACTGCAACCTCCACCTCCCAGGTTCAAGTGATTCTCCTGCCTCAGCCTCCTGAGTAGCAGAGATTACAGGTGCTCACCACTGCGCCTGGCTAATTTTTGTATTTATAGTGGAGACAGGGCCAGGCTGGTCTCGAACTCCTGACCTTGTGATCCATGCACCCCTGCCTCCCAAAGTGCTGAGATTACAGATGTGAGCTGCCATGCCAGGCCCAAACCAGAAGTTTTTAAAGATTGGAATACTTTTAAGCTTACAGTGATAGATACAAATTTTCTAAAATTTGAATTTTTGCCTGAAAGCTTGAATTTTATCATTGGCAATACATATTTTGAGTTGTATCCTTGAAGTAACACACTCCAATGATTCATTTTTGAGAGAATGTCTGCCAAAATAGTCAAATAATTGCACAAGTGGCATTTCTCGAGACAGTATTGTCATTTGATATGCAACAGAAGAGCTTTGTGCTTACTTCCCATTTTATCCAGCAGGATATTAAAAAGACATGTACTTAGGGTTGAGGTTTAATACAACTAATAATTTTTCACCTCTTCATCAGGGCATTCTTTTTTTAAAATTTTTTTTTTTAATGTGATTCAGAGTCTTGCCCTGTCGTCCATGCTGGAGTGTGGTTGTGCGATCTTGGCTTAGTGGAACCTCTGCCTCCAGGGTCAAGCAATTCTCCCGCCTCCGCCTCCCGAGTAACTGGGCTTCCAGGCACACGCCACCATACCTGGCTAATTTTTGTATTTTTGGTCGAGACGGGTTTTCACCATGTTGGCTGGTCTCGAACTCCTGACCTCGTGATCTGCGTGCCTCGGCCTCCCAAAGTGCTGGGATTACAGTTGTGAGTCACTGTGCCCGTCCATCCGGGCATTCTTTTGTGAAGCTGGTTCCTTCCCTTCACCTCTCCCCGTAGAAATAGTACAGTTTGGGGTCACTGTCTGATTTGTGCTAAGACATCAGCACTTTCACACCATCTTGCACAATCAGTGCAAATAGGTACACGATGAAAAAGTCAGATAATGTTAATATTATTATGGAAATAGATTTGACCTCACAGATCCCAAGTTCTAGAGCCACCGAGAGTCTGTAGATCACACTTTGTAAGCCACTGTTTCAGATGAAACCTTTTGGAGATATCAGTTATATTCAAACTAATTTTAATATTCATTTTGGAACTACAGTTATATATTTAGCCACATGTTTTAGATGCTAATTGTGAAACAAAAAGCTAAAATTAAAGAGCAGATCAATGTATCTGTCCTTGTGCAACAGGATCTAGAAAGGAGAAATGAAGAACTCGAAGAACTTTATTTATTAGAGAGGTGTTTTCCTGAAGCAGAGAAATTGAAACAGGAGACTAGAATGCTTTCTCAGGTAAGACTGGTTTCTCTTTTTTAGCTAATACTTTTGTCACCACAAGAGGGAGTTGTAGTCCAATTTTGATGCCAAGAAACTAAATTTATCTGTTTTAAAAAACCCTCTCATCTGACAAATTGATTGCTTATGGCAAAGTAAAGTAACATAACTTTGTAGAAAGCTATTTGTCAGTAATAACGTCCTTGAAATGTTTATATTCTTTGACACTGACTCAATTGTTGGGAATGTATACTAGGGAAATTATGCTAAATTAAAACGTAAAAGCTTTGTGCTTAAGGCAGTCTAGTCTTGCTCACAACAGCATAACTTTGGAAATAATGTAGGTGAATATCAGAAGAAAAATGAAAAACTATTATATGGCTAAAGATTGTGGTATAATCTTAAGTGAAAAATTCTAAGTACAGTACAATATGATTACAAATGTGAAATTTGCATAAACCACAAAATGAATGGAAGGCCTTGTACTAAAATGCCAGTGGCAACTAGACATTAGTAATAACTTGGGAAGTAGAAATTAGCCCAAGTGTTGGCCTTTGCAAATAAGCAGCTCTATGATTAGAGAGGAAAACTAAGCAAAACAAAAACTACTTATAAATAATGCTTTAAAAATAAAAATCTGAAAGTAATTAGTGCTTCTATGTATCTGAATGTTAAGGATTAGAAATTACTTGGATAAATAAGAATTTGGTTATTTTGGAGCTCTGTCAAGTTAATGGTTAAAGCCATCATGTTTTTATCTAAGTTGGTTAAACTAGGTTATAAGAATATACTTCAAAAAAGAAGTCATTTAATCTTTGGTTGAATCTTCATCAATGTGAACCTTTAAACATTTTTATTCCACAGTGGAAACACTACATTCAATGTGATGGGAGTCCTGATCCTTCAATAGCCCAAGAAATGAACACGTTTATTAGTTTGTGGAAAGAGAAAACAAATGAGACTTTTGAGGAAGTGATTGAGAAGAGTAAAGTAGTGCTAAATGTAGGTGTTTTATGTATTTTCCTATAAACTGGCTATTACAGATAGTCTGATATTAACTCAAAATAAAAATAAATTAATAGATTACTTGCCAAATAATAACACTACTGCTTCTGAACCCTTAGCAAAAGAAGTAATTGGTCAGCTTTTTCATTTTCTTTTTACAAGTCCTAAGAATTCCTTGCCACATTAGCTAAGGTCACCATATCATAACACATTATTTGTCTGTCTAATCAAGAAAAAAAACAAGTTGCATGCATTCATGTAGATAACACAGGTGGGGGTAGTGGGTAATTTTATCCTCAGTTGGAATATCCACTGTTTAGTAATTTAGTACCCATGATTTTTAATGTTTACTTAGTGCAACCTCTGCCTCCTGGGTTCAAGCAGTTCTCATGCCTCAGTCTCCCGATAGTTGGGATTACAGTCATGTGCCACCACACCCAGCTAATTTTTGTATTCTTAGTAGAGATGAGGTTTCACCATGCTGGCCAGGATGGTCTCAAACTCCTGACGTCAAATGATCCACCTACCTTGGCCTCCCAAATTGCTAGGATTACAGGCATAAGCCACTGCACCTGGCTGAGAATTTTTAATCAGGAGTGAATCAAAAGTTGGATTGGAAAAATTTACCAGAAGACAGCGCAGAGACGAAGAGATAGAAAATATGAAAGAGCAGTTGACAGGCATGTATGATAGAGTAAGAAGGGCTAAAAATATATGGAAAAGAAGGGATATGGAAGAATGGAAGAGAGACAATATTCAAAGATAATGGCTGAAAAATTTCCAGAATTGATGAAAGATGTGAATCCTCACATTCAAGAAACTCGACAAATTCTAAGTAAAAAGAAAAACTAATGTTTATACTTTTAACACTTCTGACACCAAATGTATGTGGGGTTTTCTCACACCAACCAATTATCCAACTCTCCAGATACCTGCTAAGTGTCCTTCGATCCAGTGCTGGTACTGAGTACTTAGAGCTAGTGCAGACCCCAGTCCCACAAAACTGCCTCTTCCTTCACTTCCAGTCACAAGTCCCAGCTTGTCACCTGTACTTCTGATCAGCCTGTTATAAATCAGCCACAAGCCATTGGTCAGGTTATTTGCTATAATGGCTCACAAAACTCAGGGAAACATTTACTCGCCTCTACTGGTTTATTATAAAGGATATTACAGAGGATACAAGTGAACAACTAGATGAAGAAATACAAGGGGTGAGGTCCGTAGGGAGGAATGTAGAGCGTCCATGCCCTCTTGGGGCACACCACCCTTCCAGCACTTCAATGTGTTCACCAACCAGAAAGTTCTCTGAACCTCGTTGTTTGAGTTTTTTGTGGAAACCTCATTTATGTAGGCATGATGGATTAAATCATTTGCCACTGGTGTTTCAGTTCATCTTCATCCCCTTTCCCCATCCTGGAGGCCAGGGAGTGGGGCTGCAGGCTTCAGCCCTCTAATCTCATGGTTGGTCCCTCTGGCAGTCAGCCCCCATCTGCTAAGACTCATCATACTAGCATAAACTCAGATAAGGTTGAAAAGGGCTTATTATAAATAACAAAAGCTGTTTCTCTCATTCCTATCCCTCAAGAAATTCTAAGAAGCTTACACCAGGAACAGGGGGCAGAGACCAAATACTTACTACTTTTTATGTCACATCAAGTTAGGATAAATAAATTCACACTTAACACACTTACATGATAATAGAAACTAGAAGGAATTCACTACTCTTATTCCTGTTATTATCCTTTAGTGCTTTTTTGGTCTAGCTCCTCACAGTTTTATGCTTCCTGTCATTGCTGCTGTAGTTTAACTTCTTCATGTTGTCATAAGAGAGCATAACTGTAGACTCTTTTAAGTTCATACCATGCATTGTATGATTTAATCTGAACAACAAAGTTATGAGAGTTCTTTAACAAATAAAGAAACATAGATTGTGATTTGCTTACAGTCCACTATGAGACCTTAGATGGACCTTACTCTGACTTTCCAAAGGCCCAAGGAGTCTCCCATACAGTCTGAGCTATTTAAATGCCAGTGGATTAATCATACAGTGTTCTTGCTACTACACATCCTCTTTACCAGAGAAGCTGCCATGGCATAACGTCAGCTTAGGAATCTGGTATTTTGCAATTAGCAGGGAGGTAGTGGGAAGTAGTACTAGAGTTCACCAGTGATGAGCTGCAAGGAACATCTTCCTGTTACAAGAATGAGTCAGAAGTAGAAGTAATAAAGAGCAAAAAAGATGAGAAAAGGATAAGTTCAATAACACGGGAGACAGAAGAGGGGAGTAATCACAGCAATAGGAAACGAAAGCAGAAAGCTGCAGAACAAGTGGACTTGGATAGCAGTAACAGAAGGAAATGGCCCCATAGTAAACACTGATTTCCAAATTTTCAAATTTATTTAATAAACTCTTATGTAGTACTTAATCTATGCCAAGCTTTGGAAATACTAGCTTTCTGAGTTCTCATGATAACACTAGAAGATAGGTACTATGAACCCCATTTTTCCAATGAGGAAGTTAAGGCACAGAGATGTTAAATAACTTGCCCAAAACCACACTGCTAGTTGAGAGGTGGCCAGGATTGAAGCCTAGCATTCTTGCTTGAGTCCATACTACCCTACACTACGATGCTGCCTGTCTTAATTCAGAAAATTTCTGTGTATTATCTGTGTCAGTGTTCAAAATTTAATTCTGCCACTTACTAGTTGTTCCTTCATCACACTGTGCCTCAGTTTCGTCATCTATAAAATATATACCATAACAATATCTACCTCATAGAATTATAATGAAGACTAAATGCATTAAAACATATACAATATTTAGAACAGTTCCTGGTGCATAGTAAGCATTCAGTAAAAATGGTAGTAGTTCTATTCCACCTCCTTCTCCTCATCGTTGTTATATTATTGTTGTTTTTTCTATTGTCTCTTAGTCTTAGATAATGACAAGTTGCCACTCATTTATTAACTTGCTAATGAAAACTCTGTCACACATAGTTAACTGGTAGGTCCGAGGGTTTAATTAGATTCAGAGCCACCATTTCCAGCAAGAAGGCATCATAGGTTATATTGTGTTCTTCATACTGCATCCTATCAGAAGCCATATGATGTTCCATTATTAATTTAATGATGCGAATTTGATCACATGGTTAAGGTGTTTGCCATTAAATCTCCACATTGCAAAGTACATTTTCCCCAATCTGAGGTCAGATACTTTGGCACTGGGAGAATTATGTATTCCTCAACAGCTTTTCACCTAATCATTTAGATAGTCATTGAGGATCTTTATCTGAAGCAGTTATTACACTGGGGATTGAAAAATGGTGATTTGCTAACTGATAATTGCATCCACATTAGATAGATGGCATTCTTCTGTAAAGAACTGTTCTTTCTTCACCCCACCTTCCCCTTTCATTTCTGAACGTCTAATACTATATACTCATGGATTTTTATTTATTCAGTGTGTTATAATTAATTTTAAGGGAGTTTGGGAGGAAATTTTTGTTTATGATCTTAAATTACAGAATAAATACTGGAAAGGATTTCTATATGTTTTGCTAAGTATGTGTTCTTCAATTCAAAAGGGATAGAACATTCCCTTTTTCACTTGTCCTTGACTATTTCTCTGAGAATTAATGCAAATATTATTTTACTTTACAGTTAATTGAGAAATTGAAATTTATTTTATTGGAAACTCCACCGTGTGATTTGCAAGATAAAAATAAAATACAGTACCAAGAATCAATTCTACAACTGCAGGAGCTCCTTCATCTTAAATTCAATGTAGCCACAGAAATACTTCTCAGAGTAAGTGTGATATTTTGCTTATATATTAAGTTTTATAAGAGCTAACATTTTATGTTATATATAAAATAATTCAGTATTTTTTAAACTGAAAAATCAAGAGTTTATGGAAAAGTTAGTAGAATAATTTAAAGTACATATATTTATTCAGATTTAATAACTGATAATATTTTATTTTTAAATGTAGTTTGTTTTGTTTTGGTTTGATTTGTTTTTTTTTTTTACAGATAGTAAATATGGAATCTCCCTGTGTTACCCAGGCTGGTCTCAAACTTCTGGACTCAAACAGTCTTTCTTCCTTGACCTCCCAAAGTACTGGGATTACATGTGTGAGCCACTGCTCCCCCCAGACATTTTATTTTTGAAGAAATAGAATATTATTTCTATTTGCCATTAAAAGTAATGGCAAAAACCACAATTACTTTTGCACTCACCTTATATTATTATTTTTATTCTTAGGATAATAATATGTAAGGATAGGATAAGAGACCTCATCCTAATATATATATATATTAGCCAGGCATGGTTTGCCTGTGGTCCCAGCTACTTGGGAGCCTGAGGTGGGACCATCACTTGAGCCCAGGAGGTCAAGGCTGCAGCGAACCATGATCGCGCCACTGCACTTCAACTTTGGCAACAGAGCAGACTCTGTCTCAAAAAATAGTAATAATAAATAAAAGAGGAAGAAGAGGAGGAGGAGGATTAGAAAAAATACTATAATGTTATATTTCAATTTGAAATATCAGCATGAACCAGATTTCTTTTTATTCCATAAATAGGATTTGGGATTTCAGTTCTGGGGCAGGAAAAGTGAAAGATGAGGCTGGATTGTCTTCCTGTGCTAGAAGGTAACAAACGCTCAGAGACTAATGACATTGTATGAAAGAGATGCCGTTAGCTAAGAGGCTAGCTTAGAAGTCGCACTGATCAAATTTGGAATAATTTGAATATCAGAATAATGATTATAATCAATTATAAAAAATTGAATATATAAAAATTTTTGAGTTTATAGTGATACTTCAGAAACAAAGAGGAAGGTGGAGTGAAGAAAGAACAGTTCTTTACAGTAGAATGCCATCTATCTAATGTGGATGCAGTGATCAGTTAGGAAATCACCATTTTTCAATCCCCAGTGTAGTAAATGCTTCACATAAGGATCCTCAATGGCTACCTAAGTGATTAGGTGAAAAGCTGTTGAGGAATACATAATTCTCCTAGTGCCAAAGTATTTGACCTCAGATTGGGGAAAATGTACTTTGCAATGGGTGGATTTGGTGGTCAGCACCTTAACCAAGCAATCAAGTTCATATCATTAATAGTGGAACATCGTATGTCTTCTGATAGGATGCAGCATGAAGAATACAGCATAACCTATGATGCCTCCTTGCTAAAAGTGGTGGACCTGAATCCAGTTAAACCCCTAGACCTTCCAGTGTACAAAAATAAAGAGGATAGAGGAGCAAGTTAAACAATGCCATGAGGAAACAATAATAGAAATCCACAATGTGGGACAATTCTACAAGATAACTGTCCTGAACACTTCAAAAAGTTACAGTTACAGAAAACAAAAAGTGTGCAAGAATAATCACACTTAAAAAATTAATAATAAATGTAGTCTTCAACAGTTTAAAGTTTTACGTTCTAGCAAGTGCATATTGACTTATTCAAATCTTTTATGACAGCTGATTTCTTGAGCAATAGGCATCAAACTATGTTAGTTTTTATTTAAAAATTTTTAAGAACATACTTGAATTTTATGGTTAATATTGGATATTAAGTATTAGACTAGTGAAAACATGACTCATCTGGATTTTATAAGCTGGATATTTTGCTTTCTAAACTTGATGTGTTCCGAGATAGGTTAACTTTGCAGTAGAATAGTCTACATTTTAATAAGATACAGATAAATCAGCATGTGTATAGTTAAAATGAAAAGTCATGATTCTGATGTTATGACTGAGAAAGGTAACATAATATTAATCCACAGGTGCTACCCGGAAATATAGAAGCAACTTTATTTTTTACTTTTCTGAGACCCAGTCTTGCTCTGTCACCCAGGCTAGAGTGCACGGTGCAATCATGTCTCACTGCAGCCTCAACCTCCCAGACTCAAGCAATCCTTCCACCTAGCATCCTCCCAGCTCCCAAGTAGCTGGGACTACAGGCACACACCACCACACCCAGCTAATTTTTTGTAGAGATGAGGGGTCTCATTATGTTACCCAGGCTGTTCTTGAACTCCTGGACTCAAATGATCCTTACAACTTGGCCTACCAAAGTGCTCAGATTACAGGTATGAGCCACCTCACCCAACCTAAGAGCTACTTTAATTCTTGGACACCTTAGGAGAAACTGAATGGAAAAAGGAGATGCATGTTTAAGTAAGTAAATACATTTGCATCCTTTAGAGAATTTTTTAAAACAATCCTTTGTCATGTTGATTGAACCTGATTTTTACCCAAGTTACTCTTTTAGGTGGTTAATAAAGGGAATCCAACACGTAAGTGATAAAGTAACTTATCTAAGTTGTATAATTTATGAGGCCTGTGGCCCTTTGTAATGTTTTCTTTTTCTCTTACAGCAAGCTAGTACCTTGGCAGACCTGGACAGTGGAAATATGGAAAAAGTCATTAAAGATGAAAATGTTACTCTATATGTGTGGGCAAACCTCAAGAAGAATCCAAGGTACCCTTGTGGATAATACTTTCCCTGTAGGTGGAAAGACATTGAACCACATCATGATTGCCAGACAGATGCCTACTGCATAGCAGCATGGTGTGTTTGGAAAAGCCCATTTTAGGAAATTAGCCCACTGAAGGTTGAATCACAAACCTGCCATTTACTTACACAAGTTACTTAACTTTGTTGAGCTTCAGTATATCATCAGTAAAATGATGATTATGTCCCTTAATAGGATTGGATTGAAGATTAAACATTAGTGCATGTAAAAGTTATAGCATAGTGTTTATTACAAATATATACTCATTATATACCAGGTCTTCCTCTTCTCTTTACCCACTTAACCCCTCTACCCTCCAAAAAAATAGAAGTGGTAGGTACTTTTTTCTTTTCTTTTTCTTTTTTTTTTTTTTTTTGAGACAGAGTCTCATTCTGTCATCCAGGCTGGAATGCAGTGGTGTGATCTCGGCTCACTACAACCTCCACCTCCTGGGTTCAAGCGATTCTTTGTGCCTCAGCCTCCTGAGTAGCTGGGATTACAGGCGCACACCACCACACCTGGCTAATTTTTTTTGTATTTTTAGTAGAGACAGGGTTTCACCATGTTGGCCAGGCTGGTCTCAAACTCCTGACCTCAAGTGATCAGCCTGCCTTGGCCTCCAAAAAGTGCTGGGATTACAGGCGTGAGCCACTGCACCTGGCTGATAGGTACTTTCTACATGGCAATCTGGATTTTTTTTTTTTTTTAATGAATCTTTGTGAACTGTTAATAGATTTTCGTATGTGTATTTCGTGGACATTTAAGTGCTGTTTCCCCAACAGTTTTCAACAAAGAAACGTCTCTGAGGAATGACAGTGATGATGGCAGATTCACGACCACTTGGTTGCTGCTTGATCTTTAAACATTTTAAGTTACTTGCATTAGTATAGCAGTGAGTTTTAGAGAAAAATAACCAGAATAAAAATTAGGAGGCCTAGGTGTGGATTCTACCTCTGAAAAGACTAGCCATGTGACATTTAAAAAAAAAAATTGGACTTTATTTTTGATGTTTAGTAAAAGGGAAGAACAAAATATTTCCCAAGTTCTTTCCATTTGCTATGAAAAAAAAAAAAAAAACAAAAAAAAAAAACCTCTTCGGTTCACATCTAATCAGGGACCTTTCTTATTGTAAAATATGTCAAGTATAGAAAAGTGAAGGAAATTAATCTGTATAATTTTAAATGAATAAAAATAAAATGAATAGCTTTGTACTCACTACCCAAGTTTAAGAAGAGAATTAGTTGGTGTCTTTTACGAGATAAGGAATAGTGCAGGCAGAACAAGTTTCATTTTGATGACGATTGGGGGGGGTGGTTGTAAAGATGATGAGTTCGGTGCTGAACTGGCTGAGTTTGAAGTACTTATAAGATACCAGAGTGCAACTGGCTGAAGGCATGGAGAGAAATCTGAGGTGTAGTATATTTTGAGGAGTCATCAGCATGTAGACCAATGGTTCTTCACTTTTTGGGAGTCATAGATTCTTCTGAATGTCAAGTAATTACAGATGCTTGCACTTGTGGAAGGGCATTTTTGGACCTCTTAAAGTCCATTCAGAGATGCGTCATACCCCTACCCAACCCTAGGAAAAATAAAGCTCATATTAAAAACTTCTGATAGTATAGATAGTCATTGAGGCCACAGAAGTAACAATACCCAGAGAGTGTGTGTTGAGGGAGAGGAGAAAGGGCTTAGGATGGAGCACTGAGTAATATCAACATCGAAGGGATGGTCAGGAAGAAGGCCGTATAGAGGAGACAGAAGGAACTGCCAGAGATGGAGAAGACTGTGGGGTTATGGATCCCAATAAACTATTTTGAGAAGGACAGCATCAGCAACTGGGTCCAAATGCTGCAAAGAAAGCACATGTGATCAGACTAAAAATTGGAGCAAAATTAAGGTGAAGAGAAATACTGCTTAGTTATAAATTTGACGCAGATCTAGAGTTTCCTAGGGTCTCATCTTTTTTGTTGTAATTAATTATTAACAGGCACAGAAGTGTCAGATTCTCTGAAACACAAATTGGATTTGAGATTCCAAGGATATTAGCAACAAGTGACATTGCTGTACGACTCCTGCATACTCACTATGATCATGTTTCTGCACTGCACCCTGTTTCAACACCATCAAAAGAACACACTTCCTCAGTAACTGAGCTTGTCAAAGATGATGTTGAGAATGTAGAAAAAGCAATCAGCAAAGAGGTCGAAGAAGAGTCCAAACAACAAGAAAAACAGTCTCACTTAATTCAGGAGGAAAAATTAAAAGTTGAGGAGGAACAAGATGATATTGAAGTGAAAATGGTAGGACACATTTAAATATACACATTTTTTTTTTCTTCATGCAACACGTGTTATTAGATTCCCTTAAAGTATTCTCAAGATTTTTCCTAAACAAATAGAAATTGTCTGGGAGCCACTTTCTTGCCAGTGCCTCAATTTTTAATGTGTGTCTTTTTCTTGTCTTCCATTAATAGTCAATTAATAGTTGAGCCACTAGCTTCAACATCCTAAAGTTCAGCACAGGCATTGCTTTTTTTTTTTTTTTTTGACACGGAGCCTTGCTCTGTCCCCCAGGCTGGAATGCAGTGGCGCGATCTCGGCTCACTGCAAGCTCCGCCTCCCGGGTTTACGCCATTCTCCTGCCTCAGCCTCCGGAGTAGCTGGGACTACAGGCGCCCGACACCTCGCCCTGCTAGTTTTTTGTATTTTTTAGTAGAGACGGGGTTTCACCGTGTTAGCCAGGATGGTCTCGATCTCCTGACCTCGTGATCCGCCCGTCTCGGCCTCCCAAAGTGCTGGGATTACAGGCTTGAGCCACCGCGCCCGGCCGCTCATTTTTATATTAGGTGCACAACCGGGCAGCTTTGATGCCATTTAATTTTTGTGTATTTATTATATATTTCAAACTCACTCAAGGGAACTTGCCATTAAATGGAAACTTAAGTAAATAATCTTCTATTACCCTGTTACTTCCTCAGTTTTTGGTTTTATAAGAAAGAATTTTATAAAGTAAAAATTTATTTTCTTAAAATATCACTCTTCTCTGAAACATTGACATCTTTAGCTTTTGACCAATTTAATAATCATATTCCTTTAGTTAGCATCTGCTCTTTTTTCTGTTGGCAAGATTGTCAAGCTTATTTATGTTAGAAAAAAATGTCTCTTAAGAATTTAGTAATACTTTCTCAGAGCCAAGCAGATTCTTTAATAGCCTATTTGCATGTTATGAGGGACCAAAAAATCTCAAGTTTTCTGACAAGTGCTTAAGACATGAAATGTATTAGTTTATTGATTTATTTTCTTTAAACACAGGAGAGGATTAAGGATTAGATTGAATACAAATTTAAAATCAGAATAGGAATTATTAGATACTCTAAGAACACCTGATTTATTAAGAATTCAATTTAAAATATTACATTGGTATCAAAAATTATAGACTGGGCATGGTGGCTCAAACCTGTAATCCCAGAACTTTGAGGTCAGGAGTTCGAGACCAGCCTGGCCAACATGGTGAAACCCTGTGTCTACTAAAAATACAGAAAATTAGCTGGGTGTGGTGGTGTACACTTGTAATCCCAGCTATTTGGGAGGCTGAGACAGGATAATAGCTTGAACCTGGGAGGCGGAGGTTGCAGTGAGCCGAGATTGTGCTATTGCACTCCAACCTGGGTGACAGAGTGAGACTTCATCTCAAAGAAAAATAATAATAATAATAATAAATACTGTAGCAATGTAGAAAAATGGATATGACATAATGCTAAGTATAAAAAAATTGTATTTAGACTCTAATGACAAGCACGTGAAAAATTTAAAGGCATAAGGAAATGAGAACCCAGAAATCTCTGCATACCTGATATTTTAGAGAGGTGGGAAACGAGTGATTTATTCCTCTTTAAAAATTTGTCATTTTTGTTTAAATGTTTTTTGGGCAATAAGATCGTTTTTAAAATAAAAATTTCATTTGAACTCTCAGGTAGTGTAGAAGCTTTACTAGAGACAATAGTATTTCTAGTTCTCTTCCCTTTCCTGGAATATGGAAGGATTATACTCCTCTCCATGTTGAAGCTAGGCATGACCTTGTGACTTACTTTAGCTAATGAGATGTGATTAGATTTGACAAACTCATTTATTTCCAAGGGGGAAAAAAAAGAATGGGTAAATAGGTCTCGTAAATAGGTAATAGGTAACATTGTTTCAATATGGAGTAAAATAAAGTAAAATAAAATAAAAAACCCCATTAACGTAAAATAAAATTTGGGAGGATTTGTGATTTTAAATTCCTGAAAACAAAGAACCTGTCAGTGTTTTACATGAGAATTTCATATTATTGATTTTAAAACTGTGATATAATAATTTGAAACCATATAATTTGAACTATTGCATTTACACTAAACGATTCGCTGGTTCAGGTGGAGGCAGTGGGTGATCTGGCTCATGCAAGTCGTGGTTCACGCCATTCTCCTCAGCTCAATAGCTAATCGGCCGCTATTTTATAGCTCAATGTTGCTGTCTCATTTATGTTCAATCTATTACACAAAGTAGCCTATCTATGGTATATTAATTCATTATAGTTCTGTTAATTTTGGCAGTAGTTTTATTTTATTTTTTTATTTCAAAAGGTTTTTGGGGAACAGGTGGCATTTGGTTACATGGATAAGTTCTTTAGTGGTGATTTCCAAGATTTTGGTGCACCCATTACCCGAGCAGTGGATACTGTACCCATTGTGTAGCCCTCATCACTCCCCCACCCTTCCCTTGAGTCCCCAAAATCCATTGTATCATTCTTACGCATTTGCATCCTCATAGCTTAGCTCCCACTTGTGAGAACGTGTGATGTTTGGTTTTCTTCTCCTGGGTTACTTCACTTAGAATAATGGTCTCCAATTCCATCCAGGTTGCTGCAAATGCCATTATTTCATTCTTTTTTATGGCTAAGTGGTGTTCCGTGGTACATATATACCTCATTTTCTTTATCCACTTGTTGATTGCTGGGCATTTGGGCTGGTTCCATATTTTTGCAATTGCAAATTGTGCTGCTATAAACATGCATGTGTAAGTGTCCTTTTCATATGACTTATTTTCCTCTGGGCAGATACCCAGTACTGGGACTGCTGGATCAAATGATAGAACTACTTTTAGTTCTTTCAGGAATGTATTAGTTTACATTCCCACCATCAGTGTAAAAGTATTCTCTTTTCACCACATCCACTCAAACATCTATTTTTTTTAATTTTTAAATTGTGGCTTTTTTTTTTTTTTTTTTTTTGAAACAGAGTCTCGCTCTGTCACTCAGGCTGGAGTGCAGTGGCATGATCTCAGCTCACTGTAACCTCCACCTCCTGGGTTCAAGCAATTCTCTTGCCTCAGACTCCTGAGTAGCTGGGATTACAGGCACGTGCCACCACACCTGGCTAATTTTTTGTAGTTTTAGTAGATACAGGGTTTCACCATGTTAGCCAGGATGGTCTTGCTCTCCTGACTTCATGGTCCATCTGCCATGGCCTCCCAAAGTGCTGGGATAACAGGCATGAGCCGCCACATCGTGCCTATTATGGCCATGTTTGCAGGAGTGAGGTAGTATCATATTGTGGTTTTGATTTGAATTTCCTTAATAATTAGTAATGTTGAGCATTTTTTCTTATGTTTCAGGACCATTTGTATATCTTCTTTTGAGAATTGTCTATTCATGTCCTTAGCCCATTTTTTGATGGGATTATTATTTTCTTGCTGATTTGAGTTCTTATAGATTCTGGATATTCTGCATCTGATAATCTTTGTCAGATGCATAGTTTGTGAAGATTTTCTCCCACTCTGTGAGTTGTCTGTTTACTCTGCTGATTATTTCTTTTGCTATGCAGAAACTTTTTTGTTTAATTAGGTACCATATATTTATCATTGTTGTCTTTGCATTTGCTTTTGGGCTATTGTTCATGAAGTCTTTGCCTAAGCCAGTGTCTAGAAGGGTTGTTCCAATGTTATTTTCTAGAATTTTTATGGTTTCAGGTCTTAGATTTAAGTCTTTGATTCATTTTGAGTTGATTTTTGTATAAGATGAGAGATGAGGATTCAGTTTCATTTTTCTACACATGGCTTGCCCATTATCCCAGCACCATTTGTTGAATCAGGTGTCCTTTTCCCCACTTTGTTTTTGCTTGCTTTGTCAAAGATCAGTTGACTGTAAGTATTTGCCTTTATTTCCAGGTTCTCTATTCTGTTCCATTGGTCTATCTGCCTATTTTTATACCAGTACCATGCTGTTTTGGTGACTATAGCTTAGTATAGTTTGAAGTCAGGTAATGTAATGCCTCTAGATTTGTTCTTTTTGCTTAGTCTTGGTTTGGCTATGTGGGCTCTTTTTTGGTTTCATATGAATTTTAGGATTTTTTTCCTAGTTCTGTGAAGAATGATAATAGTATTTTGATGGGAATTGCATTGAATTTGTGGATTGCTTTTGGCAGTATGGTCATTTTCACAATATGATTCTACCCATCCATGAGCATGGGGTGTATTTCCATTTGTTTGTGTTATCTATGATTTCTTTCGGCAATGTTTTGTAGTTTTCCTTGTAAAGGTCTTTCACCTCCTTGGTTAGGTATGTTCCTAAGTATTTTATTTTATTTTTATTTTTTTTGCAACTATTGTAAAAGGGGTTGATTTCTTGATTTGATTCTCATCTTGGTCACTGTTGGTGTATAGCACTGCTACTGATTTGTGTACATTGATTTTGTATGCTGAAACTTTACTGAATTCGTTTATCATATCTAGGAGCTTTTAGGATAAGTCTTTAGGGTTTTCTCGGTGTACAGTCATATTATCAGCAAACAGAGTTTGACTTTCTCTTTACTGGTTTGGATGCCCTTCATTTTATTCTCTTGTCTGATTGCTCTGGCTAGGACTTCCAGTACTATGTTGAATAGAAGTGGTGAAAATGGGCATCCTTGTCTTGTTCCAGTTCTCAGGGGTAATGCTTTCAGTGTTTCCCTATTCAGTATAATGTTGGCTGTGGGTTTGTCATAGATGGCTTTTATTGGCTTAAGGCATTTCCCTTCTATGCCGATTTTGCTGAGAGTTGTAATCATAAAGAGATGCTGAATTTTGTCATATGTTTTGTTTTTAATTCTCTGTGGTATATCACATTTATTGACTTGCACATGTTAAATCATTCCTGCATCCATGGTATGAAACCCACTTGATCATGGTGAATTATCTTTTTTAAAATTTATTTATTATTATATACTTTAAGTTCTGGGATACATGTGCAGAACGTGCAGGTTTGTTACATAGGTATACATGTGCCATAG